GTATGTGTTGTATTCTACAAACAATTACGAGTAATTTGATACCTTAGCAAGAGGTGTGCTTTCAGAATAAACTAACTTTTAAAGATAAAATATTCTGCGATCTTGAGCGTAATTTTTATTCCAACAACACCTTAATTGAAGGCACATTTGTAAAATACGTCGAAATGATCTAAATCTTTCTATAACTGCTAGTCCTTATAACGTTGCATATACCTGTAAAATGCTTAAAAAAAGTGTTCTCTAGAAGTGTTTAAAGACCCCGATTTAGTACTTTTAATTATGCTCCATCTTGTAGTCAGAATATTTCGAGCGTGGTATCAAATCAAAATTTTTTCGACAAAAGTTCTGATAGTTGATCTTACTTAATTGGAGTCTTTTATATTCGATGGCGTCCCCAGTTTTGCCCGATTGTCTCTTGCGATTGCGGTACTTGAAACTTTGCTTATATTTGAACTATTTTATAAAAAATACTCTCTCAGTTTTGAAGATATTTTACTAAAATTTTGCACACGCTTGTATTTTGATATTTCCTTCACTATCTCATAAAATCATCGAAATCGGTTCACTCTAAAATCTAGCTCCCATACAACTGATTGTCCAGAGATGCTGTTTTGCGTTGTAACTCCTCCAATTAAATAAGTAAAAATTTAGTATAGGTTCACTTTAACATATAGCACGCATACAATTTATTAATCAGATATGAAGTTAGAGTTATAGCGCACAAACACATATCTGATTAAACAGTTGTATTGGAGCTATACGTTAAAGTGCACCCATTTCGATAATTTTAAGGAATAATTAAGGTAATATTAAAAAACCGTTATGTGCAAAATTTTAGTAAAATAACTTTAAAACTGAGGGAGTTATTTATAAATTAGTTAAAATTTGATCAAATTTTCAAATACCGTTATCTCGAAAACCGGAGCCAATCTGGTAAAACGATGGATACTATTGAATTTAGAACGTCCCAGTTAAGTGAGTTCAACTTTCAAAATCTCTGCTCAAAATTTACAACTTCAACAACATAATTTGAACCCAGCTTATTCTTTTGTTTTCTATTTCATGTTTATTCCTCGTCTAACTTTTGAAGCACTTGATTAAAATGAATTACACTTATATTAATCGATTTATTAAGAGAATACGAATAAAATGATATATAAAACATAGGTGTGCTCACAAATTTAAAAATTAAAAATTTTTTTTTTGAGGTGTACCTATTTTTTAGGTTTGCCCTTATATTCACAATAGACCGCGTCAAAAAAATAAATAAAAATCCTGCAATGCGACCGCCATCGGACTAAAATTTTAGTATTTGCTATATTAATGATCCTCCAAGAATCTCCCCTCTGACGACAATTCTAAGAGGTCGCGCATCGAGTGTTTATTTTTCCCATACTTAGGAATTAATGTAAGAAAATTAGTTATTCTCTTTTGAGGTTAATCTAATTTTCTAGGATTATTCAAAACGTTCGAAACTATAATAATACATTGATTACAACATTTAAGTATTATACATGCTCAGATTTTTTAAATTCCGAAATTATCCTTTTTAATCGCTTGCCTTGTCTGGGTCAAATCTAATAATTGCCAAAAAATATTTTTTTTTTGAATTTAAGTAATCTGAGCATGCATAATACTTAAATGACATGTAATCAATGTATTCTTATAGTTTCGAGCATTTTGATTAATCCTAGTAAATTATATTGACCTCAAAAGAGAATAACTCATTTTGTGACTTGTAATTCCTACGGGAAAATAAACACTCGATGCGCGACTTCTTAGAATTGTCGTAGAGAGGGGAGGTTCATGGAGGATC